GGCTGGCGGTTCAAACCCACCAGCCACTCCTCGGAAGGAAGGTTGGGCAATCCTACTTCCGTAGTGATACTGCCTCGGAAACCAAGGAGGGGTCGCTATGAGTCGGGTTTGACTCGACGGCACATAACAACAACAACAACAGAAAAATGAAGTTATTTAATTTGATTAGCACTTGGTTGATTTTAACATCCTTTTGTTGACAGCAATTCATTTAACCCTTATAATAGCTTCTGAGATACCAAAACCAAACCAAACTCACTGCTGTCGAGTCGGATCTGACTCATAGCAACCCCTCCTTGGGTTTCTGAAGCAGTATCACTACAGGAGTAGATTGTCCAACCTGCCTCCTGAGGAGTGGCTGGTGAGTTTGAACCGCCAGCCTTCCCTTCTGGTTGCCAGTCAAGTGCCTTAAGCACTACTCCACAAAAGCTCCTAGTTGAGGATCAAAGAGTTTATGTTAACTGCATAATGTCCCACAGAACATCAGAGTCAAAGTTGGGATAGACCCAGATATCTTTGTTTCCAAAGCCTAAATTCTTTCCATCAATCACTTCCTGCCATTTGTACTACTAAGTTTTATGAGTTTTATGCCCTCAAGTCAGACTTGACTCATAGCGACCCCTCCTTGGGTATCTGAGTAGATTGCCCAACCTTCCTTCTGAGGAGTGGCTGATGGGTGTGAACTGCCAGCCTGAGGCACTACACTACCCTCCCCCCCCCAAAAAAAAAAAAAAAAAACCTTGTTGCCACTGAATTGATTCTGACTCATAGCAACTCTCATTGGGTTTCCAAAGCTATAAATCTGTATGGAAGCAGACTGCCTCATCCTTCTTCCACCAAACTTTAAGTAAGCAGCCAAATGCCTTAACCACTACACCACCAGAGCTCCTGTACAGGAAAGCCTTTCTTTCCAATGTACTAAATAGAGTAATGTCATTTGCTAAGCTCTTATTATGTATCTGTTAGATCATATTGTCCAGTATGCTCACATCCAGCATGTTTTTTTCTTACTAAACATTTCTTGTGATCATTGATCATGAATTTAAGATAAACAGTAAGGATAGGAGACTCCCAATTATATTTGGGAATTTTTAATGTTCCATTACTTTTTTGGTTGGGTGGAAATATCTTACGTTTATCCTTAATAAGTGAGAAAAACACACTATTATTTTCTTCAAGAAAAACAAGTAAATTCATTTAGGGGAAGAAAAATCCATTATCATTTTGAGGAGAGATTTGTTCCTATGAGATAAGTTGCCGTTGTGCCGTGGAGTTGATTCTGACTCATAAAGACCTTCCTAGGCTGTAATCTTTATAGGAACCGATCACCAGGTCTTTTTTTTCCCCCTATAGATATGTAGCAGAACACAATTTAAAGCCTCATATAAATAATAGTGATGATGATCATTTATTGAGGACCTACTCACTTAAGTTTTTTGTTAATTTTATGGGATAGGAAAACAGATCTTTTAAAGAAAGAAAGTAAGGTCTAAACATGGTAGACCAAGTTTTGAGACCAGTCTACCTGACTCTGGGACCTCTAGAAACCCTCAGTAAAAAGTTGAGGGGGTCTTACTTGTCTGCTGGGACTGGGTAGTCCATAAGTTGAAAGATGACTTTCTTTGGTGAAGTACGTGTTAACAAAGTAATGACCCGCAACATGGCATGATTCATAAAGTAAGTACAATTTCCACACAATTTCTTGTAAATAGTATCCACAATCTTAGACACCTGGAAGAGAAGGGTCAGGTCAACAAGAGTTTCCTGTTTTCTGGTCACTTCTAACCAAGACATTTCTTGAACATGAAAATTCAGTTCTTCTCAGAATTAGCAAGCAAGCAATTTACTCATAAATAAGCATCAGTAGTAAGCATATTTATGTGAATGACTTTGCTGTTGTTGTCATGTGCTGTGGAGTCAGACCGACTCATAGCGACCCCTCCTTGGGTTTCTGGGGTGGTATCGCTAAGGAAGTAGATTGCCCAACCTTCCTTCCTAGGAGTGGCTGGTGGGTTTGAATCTCCAGACTTCTGGTTAGCAGTCAAGCACCTTAGGCACTATGCTACCAGAGCTCACATTGTGAGTGACTAATACTACAAATTATTTATTAGGATAAGAATAAACCTGTACATTTATGGACAGTGGAAAATACTCCATTTTTTCAAAAAAGTTTATTTTGGGGGATAGAAGTTCTCTATACAAATTATAAAACTTCAATAAAAAGAACAAATGTATAATGTATTTCTCTAAGGAAGAAAGTCAAAATAACGGAATAGAATAACAATGGAACTGCACACTTCAAGAAATCTTTTTGAAAATTAAGATTTTAATCTACATACATACTGAAAGGGATGATCCATGTATCAGAGGAACAACTGTTGTGCCCAGGCTGTAAAGGAGAATTTCGGAAGAGAAGAAGACGCCAACCCACGCCAATGCAAATGCAATAGGACAGTTTATTAGCTAACTTAAGTCAGGGTCTTTGCCCTT